CGTGAGATCATGACCTGAGCCAAAGTCGGATGCTTAACCGACAGCCCCCCAGGTGCCCCCCAAGGCTGAGCTATTATACTTGATCTGCACGAAGCCTCCTCCCCCCTTGCTTCCAGATGCCACTATCCAGACTTGGGGTCTGTGCTGAGTCATGTGCACCCCCACCCACAGCCACCTGTGCCCAAAGGGACACCTGGGTTTCCCTCAAGCCCCTCGGTCACGCCTGAGGCCGGACGCCTTGACTGCCAAACCTCACGTCCCTCCAGGCGCAGCCCTAAGGCCGTTTCTCCTGGAAGCCGTGGGCACAGCCTCCGCCCAGGATTTCTACACACCCTCTTCCGTCCTGGGCGCGGAATGCGGGTGAACCATGAGCTCTTCCCGCTCCCAGTGAGGCCAGTGCAGGGGGAGCTGCCTCGGTTTACTGCCTCTCGCCTCACTGTGCTTCCCAGATGTTGCGCTGTTTACAACCCGACGGTTTGTGGCGATCCTGAGTCAAGCCAATCCATTGGTGCTATTTACTCGCTTCGCGTCTCTGTGCCACAGCTTTGGTGTTCTTGCAGTATTTCAAACTTTCTCATTATTATTACGTTCGTTACAGTGATCTGTGGTCAGTGATAGGCAGTTAGCTTTTTTATCAATGAAGTATTTTTTCATTAAGGTACACACGTTGACTTTTTAGACTTAAGGCTATTGCACACAGAGTAGCCCACAGTACAGAGTAAACGTAACTTCTACACGCACCAGGAGACCAAAAAGCTTCTTGGATGCACATTATTGCGATATGGGCTTTATCGACCTGTCTGGAGATGTGCTCGCAAGGTCTCCAAGGTGGGCCTGTGTTCATGCCCTGGAAAGCTGTCAGTGAGGAAAGACAGCAACAGATAGGAGAAGTCTCACAAGTAGAAAACAACGAATCTTGGGGTGCCTGGGGGTGGGGGGCTCAGTCAGTTGAGGGTCTGACTTGATTTCAGCTTAGGTCGTGATCTCACGGTTCGAGACATAGGGCTCCAAGTCGGGCTCAGCACTGAGCACGGGGCCTGCTTGGGACTCTGTCTCTCTCTGCCCCTCTCCCCTGCTTGCTCTCTCTCACTCTCTAAAATAAAACATCAAATAAAATAAAGTAAAATAAAACAATGAATCTCATAATATGAGCAAAAGCAGGTCACAAAATACACGTTAGTTTCCTTCTATAAAGTTGAGAGCAGGCACAACTATGGATTCCTATTTTGGTGGTTAATATAATTTAGGTGGTTAATAATTTAACCTCCTACTTACGAGGCTTCCCTGGGTGATCTGAACCATGTGTGCGTCAGGAACGGAGGAAGGGACAGGCGGGAACTGGAAGGGACACGCATGTCACTGGGGAGGGCCCGAAAGGGCATGTGACTCCCTACTGGAACTGTATCAGCGTGAACTCACCAACTTTTTAAAGTGATACAGTCCCTCCTCTGGTCACTAGCCAGAAGCAGGGACACTGTGACACCAAGAAGCCCACCCAGCACTGACACATTCCGGTTTCCAGGCTCTGTCCCACGGCACACAGACACGGGGACTTTTGGAGATACGGCAGGGCAGGGAAAACTGGAGGTGCTCACGGGCCGACGGCATGATGTCAGGACATGGGGCCAGTGCCAAGGGCCTCACGGAGCCCACTCTGGGGTGGCTGGAAGGTCCCACAACGATGGATTATGACGCATGGGAGGGGCATGCGGGGGCTTGCCCCCAAGGTTGTCTCCTGGGCCGTGGGAACGTGTGTGTTTGCTTCAAGATAACGTGTGTCCTGCACCAAGACATCGCAAACTTCTCTGCGCCGTGGTTATGTTCACGACAAAAAGGGTTCCAGAGAGTAAGCAGATTAGACCACGGCCGTACATGGTTCATCAGGCCAAAGAAAGGTCATCTTATGGCTCCAGGCTGATACCAGCGCACTTTTAATCCACCAAAATGCTCCGCCAAGAGTAGGCACAAGAATCGTGTATGCGGGACACTGCCTTTTACGTGGGAAAGAAGGAAAAGTGCGTGTTTCCACGCACTGGACAGATGGTCGGGAAGGACACACAGGAATGTATCAAGGTTCCCGGCGCAGAACAGGGCCCAGGGGCTGTTCACTCCGGCAGCTGGACAATGGAATGCATCACCTACTTGAAGCAATAAAGAAATAGAATTCACAAATAATTATCGTCCTTGCCTGAACAAGGATGGCACTTAGTGGGCCACAATAGAAACAGACAGAAGGAAACCTGAGCGCAGCTGTAAGAGTCGTCTCACTGGTGGAAACGTGAGCCACACACACTCCATGTGGGTTACTTCACCCGACGGGCCCCCCCGGGTCCCTACCTTTCTTGTTCAGCTGCAGGACGGAGGGCGGGGGAGTGGCCACCTTCATGGCCAGGCCGTAGGCTCCTCGGAAGGAGTGGCTGTCCCTGACGATGAACGACCCAGGCTCCTTGTCCTTCAGCATGGCGATGGCTGGGGAGGGAAGCAGAGAAACACACACGTCTGCCGGGGCCCCCCACGGCCCAGCAAGCCACCTCCGTTCACGGCCTTTGCAAACTGGGTCAGGGGAGCAGGCCCGCCGTTCCTTGGGGGGGGCGAGGCTCTGTAATGACACACAGTTTTCATGGAGGGCCTGACTGCCAAGGATGCAGACCACCCCGCCAAATGTTGGCTCACGAAGGTACCAGTCATGGTCCCCGAGCTCTCCTGGTACACAGCACGGCCGTCACCCCACGGCACCTGTGAGCTATGAGGACCCCAGCTGACCGTCCAGGACACCGGCCCCCAGCCGAGGTGCCCGGCCCGGGTCTCCATACACACAACGTGGCGGGCAGGAAGGAGGCACAAGGCGGTCTCCCATCCCCGCCGGGGCCCCGTCTGGCACCCTCTCCCCGTGGGGAGTTTTTCTCAGAGACTTTAGAGTGTGTGCTTCCCACGTAGCAGAAGGAAAGAAGCCTCTGTTACATTTTCCAAACACAAAAGGATGGGCTCCAAAAGTTACTGGACATTTAACGCAAATCCCAAGACTCGCCTCAGGGGATGGCAAAAATGTGGCCGTAGGTGGCCCTCCGTCCCCTGGGTCTGTGGCAGCCTGGATGGGGCTGGGAGCCCCCTACCCATGTGGCCGTCATCGGCCAGGGCTGACAGCTGGGCCTGGCACAGCCATCCTCCCAACTTCCTGCCTGAGGCTGGGGGCTCGCGGCGAATATGCGGCTTTGAAATCACACCCCTCCCTCCACGTTCAAAACCTGGGCCCCGGGGCCTGGGCTCGGGGTCCTGGAAGATGGCAGCTTGGGGCAGACGACAACCTGTTGCCCAGACACCGGCCAGAATGTCCGCTTGTAACCGGACCACATCTTACAACTTAGCTTATCGACTTGAGGAAAGAAAGGGATTTCAAGTATAAAGTGACCCAAAATGACAGCCACGGAACTGCCGTGTCTGAAATGGAGCAGGACATCCACGGGTGACATCTCAGCAAACAGCGCCGTGGGGCCCGCTGTCCAAGGCCCAGCTCCCAGTGAAATGACCAGGTTCCCCTTCTCTCACGTGGGACAGCGCCCTCCCCCGCGTCCAGGCTGAGGCCCCCGCGCAGGAGCGGGCAAACTGCACGCAGTGGCGGCGAGGGCTCGGCTCTCCGGAAGGGGGCAGGTTTGGGGTGGCCCTGGGAGGTGCCTTCGCCCCTGCTGCCCGACCGTCTACACGGGCTCGGGGCTGCAGGGCAGGTGGGCGCGCTGGGGCACCAGGACCCGGCCACCAACACCAGCAGGCTTCTGCTCCTGGAGTGTTTCTACATCTGGGGGCTGACCGTGGAAGTGGGAAGAAACGATCCTTAGAGAATGACCTATTTTCAACTGTGATCTACCTCACAGAGCTTTTTCTTTCCCTTTTAACGCTGCGATCTTCCCTGGCTGTGGCGGACAGAGG